TCAAATCAGACCAACTTTGTAGTCCCAAACGGTGTTGTGCTCCTCCCACGACCGATGCCTTTAGTGTCGTGGATAGGCCATCAGTGACATTAACGGCTTACATTTAAAAACCTAGTTTTACACGTTGCTATTTATAGCTCTTGGAACTTGTAGGATTCATTGTAAAGGAAACATGGAGCCTATGGAGTTTTCGAGATGAATCCTACAAATGCCAAGAAATGTTTAATATCCACATCGTTTGTGCAGCTCAAGGACATTTCACGGACACCATTATACACCACAATTTTTTGTTTACAAAAATGTTATTTCATCTTTCAATTCAGAGTTCTTTCACAAACATACTCCATAGCTTTGCGTATATTCCAACATTAACATCTCAATAAAAAAATAAACCCAAACGGCTGTGAAATGATGATACCCTGGCAGGCAGATTTGAAGAATGCTTGCAACAACACCACTTGGAGACATTAAGTGGAAACATCAACCTGCAAACACATCCATCATCTCAAGTCTTGCGAGCACCCCACGTTTAACGCTCAATCGCGTTCTGCCGATGAACAGCGCAGCTAGAACAATAACAAGTGTCCGTGATGGCATTTATAAAGAGTTCGTCTTGAACAGTTCACCGATTGTTAACATGAACCTACATCGGGGCTAATTGCTCCAGCGCAAGATGCGCTCCGCGTTCATTTAGACCGCGAATCGTTGTACTTATAAGCAAGTTACGTAACCATATGCGTCAATATGAAAACCGCGGATGGTTAGGCAAATCATTCCCGTGATAAATGTGAAAAACAAGTTTTTGTCATTGTTGGGACCGAAACAAACATGCGGCCGAGCATGGAAGGATGTTCTGTGCTAATGAACTCGGATTAAAATGATTACTACTCCACGAGAGACAACGCGTTTTAGCCACACTACCAAACATTCGGTGATACAAAACAGCAAAAAACAGTCACACAAAAATGACCCATAGATTGTGATTACGTGTTAACTATCTAAAATCAGGTAATGGGGTTCCATTTATTTAAGTCTCCGCACATGGCGAATATTTAATTCTTCGCTACGCAGACTCGCAAGCGGCCTCGTGTGCGGGGAAAAAAAAAACTTCATATTCGAATTTGAATTAAGATCAAATCATCACAAATACATTTGCACGATTTCTTCATTGTTAACCACATTTAGCCGCCCAAGGCAACAAGGGAGCCGTTTCCACATACTTCGTTACACCTCCGCTCAATAGACATTCGGATACCAACGGCGTGAGCAAAAGCCACACGCACATAGCAAATTGGCATTCAATGCAACTTTTTTAAATCGAGCCTCGTTCTGGATTATAGAAAATGAAAAAAGTACAGCACAAACATGGAGTCGTCTGATATATAAACAATTGAAAACAGACTAAAAGTGAAGGTGTTCAGATTCACGCCATTTCTCAACAGCAACCTTTACGACCATCGTTGGAGCCCATCGTACATAAAAAAAAAACTAAAATAGGATTAAAATTAGGCCACAACAATAACCTTAGGTATTTCCTAGTCTCTTGTTTGCTAAATTTAATCTCCGCGACTCAAAGTATTAAGTGGCATCCGTGGTGACCGTGAAAATGCCTCGTTAAGAGACATTGGCAACATGTTTATAAACAAGGTTAGGCACAACAAATGTCTTTGGGAGTAATTGGGAACAGAGACATCAAACTATTGCAATGCCAGTTTGTTGCGAACATTTGTAACTAAGCCAAGCTTTTGGATGAAAATATCTAATTCGCAGCAGCAACAGCCAGTTTAAAGCACAAGCCAACGTGAAGCCGCGATAATGGAGCCCCCCCTTGCGGCTGAACAATGTATTTCACGAGACCAGATCTCAGACCAAGAATTCAGGCAAATCAAAGAGACAATCACGGAAAGTTTTAAATCTCCACGACTCGGCAAGACAACAGTGACGGCTTCATTGTCGACCCGTCTGATGAAACCATGTGGCTCTTGAAACAGTGCTGTGTTATAACACAGCACTGTTTCAAGAGCCACATGTTTGTGTTATAACACAGCACTGTTTCAATAGAGCTTCAAGTTTCCACGGAATGACACAGCACCGTTTCAATAGAGCTTCAAGTTTCCGCGTTATGACACAGCACTGCATGAACAAAGCACGTGCACATGTATCACGCACGAACAACTTTACACGCCCCAGTTTTTGTTTATTACAATGCAACGGTGTATTGAGGCACAGCTAATTGAGTTACAAAGTATTTTGTAATGTGATCGCCGCACCCTGCATGCATGCGGATATACATAATACAAAACTACAACACACGAACTGCGTGCATCTCGCGATGGCCACGCACTCGTGCGGAAATCCTCGATTTGTTGTAAAAGCCTTCGCTAGGAGTCACAGCGGTGGGGGGGGGGGGGCGATCAGGAGTCGTCGTGTTCCATGTGCCGAGCCGGGCCCGTAACCTAAAGAAAAGACGGGCACCTTTCTTACACCTACTAACTCAACTTACTATGTCGTCCTTTTTTAAAATCGAATTTCTTACATTACACACGCAGCATGTCAATTGTTTTTATCGCCAACGGTAACAGCGCGAGCATGTTACATTTGAGAACGCCAGCCTGTGGCTCAGTTTTTTTTCCGTGGAATTACAATAGCACGTGAATTAAAGTGGGGTTTGGTCCTCAAACGAAGCCCAAGACTTGGCTTTCCTTCAACCTAGCGTCAAGTCACCGGCTCCGTAACGAAGGGGAAACCCCCTCGTGTTGCCGTGGCCTCTTGGCAACGCAGGAACGCACGTGCCAAGTGAACTCGATCGCCGACGTGAACACGGGGAACCCGACCAGGTGCGGTCACGTCGCACAGCACGCGTGCCATTGGAAGCGCGTCACAAGAATATCTTCTTGACAAGTCTCTCTCTCTCTCTCTCGGGCCGCATCCTGTAAGTTCGGCGAGCAGTCACGACTGCACCCAAGACACTCTTTGTGCCTGGCGAGGTACAAACGGTCTGTACTTGGCGACTGGCTCGTTACAGACGAGACGTTGTTTTGAAAATAAAAGAGACCACGCGCAGGACTTAGGTCACTGCGATCTTAACAGATCGGATATAAATGTCATCCATAAATCAGAGGCTGTAAAATACACACACGCACAGATCAATGTACAATACACAGATCAATGCGCTTCGAAAATATTGGGCCTCCACGGAGGGCAACGCATGCACAAAGTGGGCCACATTTAAAACCATGGTGCGCAGCTCTCAAATGGTTGTTTATATTTATTACACACAAACATTCACACACACAAAAACACTCCTTAAATATAGCACTGACTGCATATACAAGGGGCACCAGACATTAAAGAAAAAAAATCACAATTGTAGGAAAGATAAATCGAGACTAAGAGCTTCTGTACAACACATGGACACGAATCCACATGGCTGCCGCACTGCGTATCGTCATCATACCCTAGATTAAAATGTCCAGCCAGCGCACAATAGAATATGTTAAGATCAAGAGCTAGTTTGACTTCATGCCAACACGGGGTATAAATTGGTCCATCACGGACGCAGCCAGAGGTTGGTTGGGCCACGTAATCACGCACACACCCTTCTCATTAGTGCTTGGGGTTTTTTTTTATACAGATGTGCAAAAGTCCAAATATTTTACAATTTAAAAGCAAAAAAATGGTTCTCAGTTAATCGCATGTGTAATGTAATCTGTGGCAGATAAATAATAATTTCTGCCAGGAGAGGTAATAACTGAAAATCATCAGATGGGTACGTGGACAATGTCCATCTTTGGAAGCGATCTTATTATTTTCCTGTTGGGTGTGGTGGAGTGTGTTGATATTTTTATTGTGGGGTTTTTCCCCTCCAATCATGGGCACATCTTTTTTAAAATGTACAGCCATCGTACACACTCGATATTTTTCGTCTTAAGTAAAGGAGAAATCCGACAAAACATTGTCTAAGAAACTTTCAGCTTCATACGCCGCTGTTAGTGTAGGATACTTTGGGTCAATACGCCAACTCCTATTTGCAATTGTAATGTGAATAAATTACTGCTTTTTTATTTAAAAGTGCCACGTTCAACAATTGCGCAGGGGAATTAATGTTATACTTAAACTAGTGTGGATGAAGAGAAATCTGCTGCCAAACCGCATCAAGTAAAACCCGGGCACACAGTCGCTGTCAAAGACACACACGTGTGCAAATTGTCTTGTGATCGGTTAGTCCTACGAATTAAAATCTACATCTCAATGAGGTGCCACAGTTAGAGCACACAATATTCAAGTTGCGAGCTCAAATTCCAGTCGAGAATCAAATCCGCCGTTTGCCCATTTGATAAACAAGAGCAGCATTTGTTGGTGGCTGCCCATGCATGTTTTTGATTAAGAAAGCTCTACACCCCTTCATTGTAAAATTTCCCATTAAAATCGCAATTGGAAAATAACAGATGGGAAAAACACCATATATTAATGAAAAACTCAAATGCATGGACAATCAACAGTAGTGGTCCCACAGAGGGACCCACCTCCACCACGATCATTTGGCATTTGTACCAAGAGCTCGTGATTTTTTGCCACAGGGAGACCACCTCGGGCATTCCAGTGCTCGATGAAAGCAAGGGAAAAACTCTTAACATTGACGACATCCCAATGAGAAGCAGGCATGAGTTTTTACAGTGGCTCATGGGCAGCCTGAGTGGATAAAAGGGGCGTGGAGTGGATAAGTAGGGGGTGTACTGAGTGGGGGTGGGTGTTGGGCTCGGTAGGGGTGTGGTGTGTACGAGTGGGGGTGGGTGTTGGGTTCGGTAGGGGTGTGGTGTGTACGAGTGGGGGGTGGGTGTTGGGTTCGGTAGGGGTGTGGTGTGTACGAGTGGGGGTGGGTGTTGGGTTCGGTAGGGGTGTGGTGTGTACGAGTGGGGGTGGGTGTTGGGTTCGGTAGGGGTGTGGTGTGTACGAGTGGGGGTGGGTGTTGGGTTCGGTAGGGGTGTGGTGTGTACGAGTGGGGGTGGGTGTTGGGTTCGGTAGGGGTGTGGTGTGTACGGGTGGGGGTGGGTGTTCAGGGGGTAACTCCGGTGGCGACCCTCCCCCCCATCACGCCGCATTCCCCTCCCCGTCCTGCACCTCCCACACGCGCTGCCGCTCGCTCTCGCGAAGCCGCTCCATTTCCGTGTCGCTCAGCGCCGCCCTCTGCCGCACGTCCTCGAACTGGTAGTCGCTCATCAGCACGCCGTTCTCGAACACAGTCACCAGCACGTCCTGCGCGGCAAGGGGAGGGATTAAAAAAAAAAGTGCAGAAAAAGAGGTGGATGGGAGCAGTTAGGAGTGCTCTTGGAAAACTGAACTTGATTATGAAAGCAACAAAGCAACGTTCCTCAAGCAGAAAGCTTTTAAATCAGTGAACATTACCTGTTATGATGTACACACACTGACAAAGCAAACCAAACAAAATCTAAGAAGTGGCTGATTATAAATAAATAACATCATTTACAAAAACCATTGCGTGCTTTTGGCGAATGAAAAAGCCACTCAACTAACCTTGGTTTGATTTAAATTAAGTTGAATAATTTATCTGGCAGCTCAGCAACATGTCTAACTGGCCTTATGCTACCGGTGGTACTCTGAAAGGGCGCAACTGGTCCGGAGTTAGCCGGCTTAAACAATGCTGCTGGAAACATTGGTCCACAAGTTCCATAACACTGATGGGACCAAAACGCGATTGTGTTAAGAGACGAAACGATGTCCGTGTTGTATTATTTAGCGGCCTTGGCATGTGGAGTGGGGCGACGTACGGTGTTGGGGTCCCCACGCCCCTCTTGCACTGTGTGGAAGGAGCCGTCGGGCGTACGGTGCAGAGACAGGCGTCCTCGCTTGGAGGCCTTGCCCGGGTCCGTCACGGGGTTCTTGTACACGTTAATCTGCCACGAGACGGAGGCATTCAACACGGCAAGGCAGTCGCAAGATACGGTGCCGGAGGGAACCAAAGTGTGGAATTGGGCTACACTCACGCTTATTTATGGCACACACGCACAACGCCGTCATTCATGGACAACGAGATTTCAAGCGGTGCTTGTTTTTTTCAAATTAGGACCACACTGCGCACACTTGCCATAACTCAACGCCGAACAACATCTCCCTGTCTGTTCCAGCCCGAGGCCTACACCGGCAACCTCTGGGCCTGTTTCAACCCAAGTCTCACCCCGGCGATCTCGCTGCCTGTGCGAGTTCGAGACTTACCCCCTGACCAGCGATCTCCGCGTAGCTGCACTTGAACGAGCAGTTGAGGATGTCTCGGTTGACGCGCTGCAGGATGGCGCCGCCAGCCCCAAACGCCACGTTCTCCACGCTCCAGCGCTCGCGGTGCAGCGCTCGCAGCACCTGCGGGGCCACGCGACCGTTTAAGTCTCTGGTTGGACAAGTTGTGTGTGGGCGTGGTGTGCGTCAAACGAATCGTGGGGAGCAGTGGCGCAACGGTTAGCGTACTACGCTACGGACCCGGTGGCCTTGGGATCGATTCCTGGTCACGGCTAACACCGGCAAGGGGTTAAATACGAACTGGGCCCCGAGTCTGAAATAAGTCGGCCGTAAACAAGCACCTGGTGTGTAAGGGCCAGCAGTGCGCGAGACGATTGCGGTTGGGTGTGGTGCAGACTGCACCTCTCTCCCTCGTGCATCATTCTGGCCTTTATTAGGTGTTCACTAACAGCATTTGCTTCAACAGTCTATACAGCAATACAGGGGAACATTGCCCTTGTACAGATTTCCCTCTTCATGCGGGAAATGCGTCCCAACAAAAGGACGCACAAAGCGAAACCGCACGAGGAGACAGCTGCCTGCAGAGTAGCGCACAGTACACACACACAGTAACATACACAGTACACACAGTACCCACACAACGTTGTCCCACGTCCAACCGCATAGCCACATGTAGAGTGAATTCAAACCGCATAGAGCGAATTTTTGGTAAAAATAGGTTAGCCGCATATACAACGCGACATCGTACAAACATCTCACCCGCATAGAGAGAGGGAAACCTGCCTATCGCTAGCGTCCATCGAGCTCAGGCTACGTAAAGTTACAGGTGCCAATGCATCAGTGTGCCAGCTACCTTGACCAGCGTGTGCGTGCCAATGCCGTCGCCTTGGATGACCCGCAGGTAGGGTGGCAGCACCTTGAAGCCGCGCTCGTTTGTCGTCGTCCCAAACTTCTCTCCGAGGATGTTCAACACCTACACGCACACAGAGGGGCAATCAGACTCGACGTCACGAGGTGCGAAGCGGGATTGTGATTCATTGGCGCCTCTCTATGTATGTACACAGAACTTCTTTCGCACAGCATGTAGCCAACCCTGCTAAATCGGGGGGGGGGGGCGCTAATCCCCTAAGAATCGCAAAGTTGCCCGAGTTTGGCTCAAATGAGGAGACGGACCTCGGGTATCAACAATGAAGCAACAATTTTAAAAAGGTGACTTAGCACGTTGAACTTCTTTCGCACCACACATAGCCAATCGTGCCAACTGGAGGCGCACATTATCGACACGGATTCTAAGTCCTCTCCCCCCCTCCTTCACGAGACGTGCGTGGCCGCCCGTCAGCCGGCGGTCGGCTGCCTACCTTGAGCACCATGACGACGGGGTCGCCAGAGTCCGGGCGGATGATGAGCGGCGCCGCGGCGGTGCGCGTGCTCTTCACAAAGTCGTGCAGCTCCTCGCCCCAGATGTGCTCGCACGCGTTGATGATGTCGTAACTGTCGCTCACGATGGACACGGGCAGCTCGGGGAACTCCTCCAGGATGTAGCGGAACGCGTCGCTCTCCTTCTCCTTGCCCCACGCCGTGATGTTGCTGTGCCGTGCCAACGCGCGCGTGTTACGCAAGCGGCCCCCCCCGGCTTTAGCGCAGGGGTTATTTTATTTTACCAGGTAAGGCCCGCTCAGCTGTATGGCTCTTTTTCAGAAGCGACCTGGCTACAAATGATGATAGCCCAACGAAGTGGCTTAGCACGTGGAAATAATTTATCGCAGACAAATACTCTAAACGTACGATTCTAAATGTGGAGTGGAAAACCCGGAGGACCCGGAGAAAATTCCACGCGACCACGGGGAGAGAGACGGGAAAACCTCAAAATATACAGCAGCAGGCGCAAGGGTTGGGATTGAACCTACGACCTCCTGTATACCAGGCGAGGTAATTAACACGTTCCCCATCCCTTAACACCCCCGACACCATGGCGCCCACGTTTCGCTGGCAATTACAATCAGCTTCAGCAGGGGACTTGCCAGAATTGTTAAGACGTCTTCCCGTTTCGGTCTTAACGTCGTACTCAAATTGTAAATGTTGTGGGTTGACTCTCCAACGCACCGATGCTCAAGTAGTAACCAATTGGCACGTTTTGTTCACGTGTCGTGTATGGTGGTGGCGGGTTTAACGACACATTTATATTTACGCGATCTAACCCAAAACAACCTTTATTATTGGGTGGGGAGGCGGGGGGGTTGAGTTTGGTGCACCGTCCACCTGTGTTCGGAGGCTGGGATCGAGAATCCGGCCATGGGCGAGCCGTAGTATTCGTTGGCGAAGAGGTTCGCGGCCATCGTGTCTGTCCCGCAGAAATTGATGAGGTGAGCTGCGCCTCCAATGCCTGCCGACTAACAGGGGAACAGGAAATCGCACGGAGACCTCTGGCTCAGTCTCACGGACACTACAGGGAGGGCGGTGCTCTTAGCGAGCAGCGATGGAGGCTGGCAGGGCGCACGGCGTGGAGAGAGAGCATGCCGAGAGCGAGACCATCACTCGGTAGCTTGTAGAGAAAAAACACAATAAAGATCGCCCTAAAACACGAGTAGCTCTTATTTTGTTCATACACACACACACCTAAGCAGTATGTCCCAGGTTAGATTTGATGCTTTCGTGACTGCAGGAATTAATCTTTGTTTTTTTCGGTAAAGTGTTGCTTTACATAGTTCCAAATTTTGCTAAACCCTGTTTGATTTAGTGTGATGTTCCGTCTCTCTGTATCCCCAGGTATATATCTGTGTTAATTCCCTCTACTTAAGGTCTGTATATCTGCGGTTATGTGTTTCCTCTACCTGATGATGATTGCTTGTGTGTTGCAATCGAAACGGCATATATTATGTAATTTTATTTTTATTTTTCTTATTTCTACGTGACTTTACCGAAGTTGGAATCTTCATTAGTTAGAAAAAATAATTTAAAATCATGGTGAAGTGCATCTTCATGGCACTTGCAACAATCTGATACAATCTAATACATTAATGCAGTGATGTCATTACAGCATGCTACCGAGGAATGCATAAACTTTTCAAAGCAACGTATTTTTGGCTTTTTTCCACAATATTTTGAAATTGTGGCCGTCAACGTTATGTAAAAAGATATGGAATTTTTGCAAAGCCATACATCTCACACCATGCCACGGAACAATTAATCTAAAGTGATATTACAGAACTACTTCTGAGATCCCGTCAAGCGACCTCTGAGCCACACTCTGTGCTGGACATTTCCCACACAGCCCGCTAAAGGGGGTGGGCATTGCAGGGCAGTAGACCACGTACAGCCTTTCATCAATCCACTGCTGGATGACGGCGACCCTACAGCATGTGGGTCGTGGTGAAATTTTCCGGCATATTTCACTATGCTGGTGGCTCGATAAAAGGTGAGGAGCGGAATGGGTCCACCCAAGTGCAGCACAACGATGAAGTTATGCACTTCCCTCTGCAGCTTACGTCTGCACCCACAGCCGAAAAACACAACCTGCTGTATGTGGTGGTCATCCATCAAAGAATCTATCCCCGAGGACTCAACCCCGCTTTGGCTTCCGAAAAGTGACCAGATCGGGTGCATACCAAGCGACTTTGTCACAAGCAGCTCAAGTATGCGTGTGCAGAATAGACGCACGTGCGCACACACACACACACGGACAAGGTGCGTTTGTGTTTTGGACCGAAACCCTGGAAACACGACGCACCTCGTGTGACGACACGCCGCGATACCCAAAGTCGTGCAGCTTGAACTCGAGGCCCTTGAGGCTGCCGGCCGTCTCCTGCAGGTAGACGGCCAGGTACTCCTTCTGCTTGCGCGAGTTGGTGGCCACCGTGATGGGGTACCACGCCTGCACCAGCAGCGTCTACGGCACGTGGAAGCGCACAAAAGGGTCCGGGCACAGCAGTGAGAGATATTCTTACCGTGAACAGGTACAGGTGCAGCCCTGCAATTGCTTGCTCACGCCACTGCTGGTGATAGATAGTGCCCCTCTAAATGGTGTTTGGTCTACTCTTCCACACTGGCCAGATGACTTGGAGAATGTGGGAATGCCTACATTTATAGACACCACACGCGACTTGCCGATTAACTGTTGTGAACCCATTTATAGGAGGCGGTGGGGGATTCAAGAAACTTGCACCGTCGCTACAACTGCTGTGCCACGAGACCAAACCGGTGAGACCTCGATGCGGTTACACCATGGCAAGAGCCCTGTATACTAATAAATTACGATTTGTTGTTGGAGCCGTGGTGAAATAATGCATTGCGCGATGAACCCAGCGATACAGAGATCGATTCCTGGCCATGGCCAATGTCAGTGTCGAGCAATATCTGGTCCTATGGTGCCCCCTCTTCACCATCCTACATTGAACAGCAGCGAGACGAGCGGTCAAACACCCTGTGCGTGGAGGCCTTCACGCGGCAGTGGACCGACACAATGAGCTATGCAAGTATTATTATTATCATCATCATTCATTATTTTATTCTCAGAACCCAATTTAATCACAGACGGCTGCCCCGATTAAAAATCAGGATCTAAGTGCTGCCAGCTCGGCACTGAAACGCCCAGACACCGCTACACTGCCTGGCTTTGGAGATTCCCCTTGGCAACACTGCAATGTGCGTTTCTCTCGGTAACCACCTCTCTTCTTTCTTTCACAGATTCAAACCATTGCAACCTCCTATTTCCTGCCATCTACGAGGCTGTCTTGCCATGTTCTGTTCTTCCCATCGAAATCGCTTACCCCAACCCTCCATTGCATTCCTAAAATCCCCAAATGCACCTGCATTGAACGACAGGAAGATGCTTGTCTTAGAGCTGCTTTATTGAAATCAAGGTCTCTCACCCACAATCGTTGCATTCGCAAAAGAAGATAATATTCCATGGAAGCCAAGATCATCCACAGACACTGTGAGAGAGGGCTAGCTACTGCTCAGTGCTCCATTAGCCACCAACTAACCACCTCACCATGATATCAGTACACTTGAGAAACTGGTTTAATTAAAAAGACCAAAACCCAATCTGAACCCAGAACCTCTTCCTCTCCTCCTCCGACAACGATATCTCTCCGATTGAACCAATTTCCAAGGACGTATGAAGACTTCACAACTTGCCACTGGTTTTGTACACTTGCCAAGTAAATGCCTGGCAACAGTTTGGCACAACGGGGCTGATAACAGCCGGGCCAGACATGCATCAAGCTCCAGCAAGCTTGCAACCACCCGGCGCTCGCGACGCAAAACATATGCATCTTCACTTAAAAAAATGAAAATAACTTGGCAACGATTGCTACACTCCACTGGGGTCCTTAGTTTAAGAATCCTGCACCGCGGTGGGAGAAGTTGCGTTGAGAAAATGTTTAAAGTTGTTATCGGCCAGGGACTTTGAATAATTATTGCCTCCAGAATCCAACAGCTGTCGCTTCCCAAAACAGTGCGGAAATCACTGCCAGCCATTTTACCGAGGCCTATTAAGCTTCTCTCAATCTACGGGGCACAGAGGATATTTTAAAATGCACCCAAGATATTAACACTGTCATTATTATGTCAATTTTTGCCAGCACAGCTCGCAGTTGTTAGACCACAATAATAATCCGGTAGTGGGGATTCTGGTGACAGTGGTAGCTGGAAATGCCGATTGTTTGGTTGCTACACCACCGGCACATAATGGCCTACTTTTGCAATCAGAAATTCAGAGATTAATTTTATGTCTCTGTGAATGGCAGGGAACTAACACTCCACCATCAATGAAATTAATCATGGCATATGGAATAAATGCAGGGTTGATGCACACAAGTTGGACATTGCTCCCCTGAAAAACTTGGCATGATGGCTCATTCATACAAGCCGATTTGAATACAAGTGCTCACAATTGAGATGACAATGAAGAACGTCGACATGACATTTTTATTTCTCTTACTAGAGCATAAGGGACATTTCGGAATGCTCAACTATGCATGTGAATGTCTCATTTGTACCGTCGGTCTCCATGTCGCCCCACGTATGCCGTCTCATTTGCACCGTCGAGTTTGTACGCTGGATCTTGTTTGTGCCATCTCATTCATTCTGCCCATTAGATGTCATGCTCAGTTTTGAGGACCAAGACAAAAATCGATTCTGTATTCGATCTGTAAACATTAACTTTGACATTTAACTCAACCACAAGAATGATTCACCTTCCATACTTTCAGGTACCTAACAGCGAGCACAGCCCCAGGGCCAATAAAGGTGTCGTTTCTGGTATGAGCGCGCGTGTATGTATGCGTGTGACCTTCACCGGTCCTGGGCCTCCCCTAGGTCGACTTTGCCTCAAATGAGTACCGAGTGCGATGTGTAAAAACATCGCCACTTGGGAAACAAAGGTGGAAGGGCCTGGTGCTCGCCACCCACCCCCTCGTGTGCCGAGCCGACCTTCATTGGGTGCTACTCGCTAACAGCACTTGCCCCAACAGTCTGTTAGGGCTATACGGGAGATCTTTGTCTTCGTCTTACCTCCACCCAGCTGGTCAGCCAAAAGCAGGCGGGGTCGGTGTTCTCCACGGTGAACAGGACGTTCCCGACCGGCACGACGGTGCCTTCCGGCACCGCCTTGATGCGCAGAGGCAGCTTCCCATCATGCTTCTGCAGAGAGAACAAGGAAGTGGCCTCCCCCATCAGCGCGGAGTTGCGGGTCGCCATCATCACCGCCGACAGGACCGCGCACTACGTGGCATCAAGAAACCACTACTCGCCTCATCTTGCTTTCTCTTGTGCCGCTACTGTCACACCCGTTGCTCCCGTGAACAAGGGATTCATTACTTATTTAAGCAGTGTACAGCGTTATTGTTACAAGTATTAATCACGTGTATATGCTATTGCTTTCATTACCCGGGTCTCTCTGGAGAAATAAAATGTTGGTCTCAATGGACTAATCATCAGCGGCCACGGTCTATTAACTGTTGGATGAAAGATTTCCCATGCCGTCGCCATGCCTCATGGTCCCGTGATGCCACAATCTGCGTCTCAACAGATCCCTTTGCTCCATCTCTGCAGCGTTCATCCTCTCGGGCACATTCCATCCTTTGCCTGCTATTCCACCACCAGGCTCGCCCATCGGCAGTCATCCCTTGGAGCCACACGTCCTCTCCGAGCCAACTTACTCCACCTCACAGTAAATACGACGCGTCTCCGATTTGCATGCATTCTCCAATCTATATAATGCCGCGGTCCTTCAGTGTAATGCAACTCCAAGCAAGCTTTTTGTGCACTCGTCAGAATGGGTTCCATTTTCTTTGCCCAGTATCCACTTATCACAGAGTAAAACGCAATGATTGAAAACTCCCTCCTCCGGACAGATTTGCCATGTCGATTTTCACGACAGAGTTTCGACTCTCAAAAAGTCTGTCCTGCCTTAATCACCTTTTCATTTATTCACTTAGGATCAGAATATTTATTTATACTGGAGGAATCTGATGAGCTATAAAGCTCTTTCCACAGACGTCCAGTAGATCTTGGATCTGCCTTCAACAATTCCTTAGATTCTGCTGTGTTTTCAGGATGTTCCCCAAACATTTATATATATTGTACACGGCTTCTGTTTTGCACTTTAAACATCCGCGTTCCACATTTATAAATCGTGTCACCTCTAAGATGTGCATCCATCCAGCTTCGTTGAAAATAGGTTGACCAAAGTGCTTCAAGTAAAACTCCTTCGTGTCCTCTATCATATATATATTGTACACGGCTTCTGTTTTGCACTTTAAACATCCGCGTTCCACATTTATAAATCGTGTCACCTCTAAGATGTGCATCCATCCAGCTTCGTTGAAAATAGGTTGACCAAAGTGCTTCAAGTAAAACTCCTTCGCGTCCTCTATCTTCTTCCTCGACACCACGTGACCTGCGAATGAGAGGTGGATTTTGGTCAAATGCGGCCACAGAGCTGAAAAACAAACAAAACCACCAACCCAATAAAGTGTTACCCCTCCGTATAATTGCACTTTTTAATCTAGATTTTAGAACTCCTGTCTTTAGAACTACTTCCTGTTTAAGTTCGTTGTCCTTCCCCCGCACCTCTGATTGGCAGGGTCGGCCACGTATGGTGCAAAATAATTTCAATATACATGCATCATATTGACCGTTCAGAATCGTAATGGGAAATCCGCAGGACACGTCGCTAGAAGGGTGATGGCCGGTGGTCAAAACTTGCATCATACTGGCAGCCAAAGGATGGAACATTCCAGAGAGGATGCTTGCTTTGGAGAGAGAAGCGTTCAATGGGCTCATTGGCAGTTGCAACAAAAGACCTTGGAGAGATGGCGATAACTTTGGAAGGTCTTTACCCAGCAATGGTTGCTGCTGCTGATGATCAGTTTGAAGAGGGTCCTGTGAATAATCTGTAGAGGGAGTGGATGAAGGCTCAAGGAGGAAGAGTTGCCGATGTCCTTCGGTGACCCTTGGGAGAAACACGTGGGGGAGCGGCGCATCGCGTGCGCCATCCGTGCCTCCCTCATTCAAAGGCTGATTTAGCCAAAGGAATTACTGGACGCTGGCCAAAATCTGCGAGCCAATCTGTTGGCTATAATTAAAAGGGACGTGTGGAGTGTGTTCGTGTTAGTCACCACAGCCGGATTAGTGGAGGAGCAATGGATGAGGGTTCAACGTCTCTTTTGTCGATTAGCAGAAAAACTTGACGGGAGAAATTATTTAAGCCTGTGGAAGTGTTCAGGTTTCGTGAACACTGTATTATTGTCAAGCAGTTCGCTGTACTGTGCTGTAAATAGTGCACGAGGTTGAAAGGAAAAATGAATCCAACAATAGTGCTAAAGAATTATTTTAACCACAGCTTCGGCGAATATTCAAATGGACTGGCACACTTTTTTTTTTAAACGCATCAGAATAAAACACTACCGTAATAAAAAAAGAACCCACCGAATAGATACAGAATAAGGGTCACTGTCTATTCACCAAACCGGGCATTTAATTTCACCAGCTCTGGTTTGGAGGAGTCACATCTCGTGGTTGCAGTCGCTGATGTACACCCATTACACACAGCAATCAATGTAAAAACAACAATTTTCTAAACAAGTGATACAGTTCATGTATCGTGAGCTGAACATGATAATCAATGAAATAATCCTTAATTCATTTGCCAATACATATTACCTTGGCTACAAAAAAAACAGACATGGTTTAGTGATGTCTTAAAACGATATTTATTTCTTACGGATTTTTTGTCAATCTGGTACAGGTTGACAACCCTCCCCAATGCCATGTCACCATGGGGGTTGCCTGTGACCTTACTTCACCACTTACTTGTCAATACACAGCTAGTGACGCTGGGGGGCCAGGACTGGTTCAGATATTAATCGTCACTGTTGTTAGCTGTGGCCAGACATAAGAGCCCGTGTCACCCGGTTCGTACTGCAGTGCATGCTAATGAATGTGCCACAGCTCCACCCGATATAGTGTGGCGCCATTAAATGGAAGGTTTTGAAATTATCTATGGGAATATTAAAAATACATACCGTAAGGCCTATCAATCTGATAAAGCGGTAGAATTTGACAGCAAGGGTTACAGAATAAAAACTCACTCTAAATTGTATTTTCCAAAAAGCCTCGTTGATCGTGTTGAGTCTCTTAAAAAAGACGCCATACCTCAACATGGTTACCCAAGATGCACTGTGCTAGCAACTTGATGATTCTACGCTGAATACAAATTAGTTTATTGCCAACATTTTTTACTGTGGGGGTTTTTTGTCTGTTACTCAATCTCAATATCTATCAATAGGAAACTCTTCATGTGTCAATTCAAGAATCTTCATCAATAAATTTGTACATTTTTATTTTTACCAGAGTTCCATGGTGTCTCGTGCAGTCTCGAATTATTATTCACTTCATCTCTCTGGCCTACATCTACTACATTCCATGAAGGGCCACTGCCCACAATGTCACCCAATATATAAAAGGTTTCATTTTAAAGCAATGTTATTGACACATGTGTTGAGTTTTTGGTTTTTGTGCTTGTGCAGGATTGAAAAAGAATTTGACAAAGCAAAAATGGTTGGAAATAATGAAAGTCATTAAAAAAAAATGTACGATTGATCTTCACATGCATGAAAGGCACTCGTGAACGCAGATGGCACACTCTCGGTCTTGGGAACCACGCCTAATAAGCACAGCATGTGGCCCATAGGAGGATTAATGACAATATAAAAACACATTTTATTTGTTAATAACGTCTCAAATTAGAATCATGACAAAATCACCCAGAGTGCAGCCAATCTCAAGATGCGACACAGAGCCAAGCTTGGTTAGTTGTCAAATGGGCAACCGCCATGGTTAACAGGCGTTAAAGGCTGCTCCTGCTGCTACGTTATGAGTAGCAAGTGGCAGTGCAGCAATATCCATTGTTATACTGTACTTGTATGTTTCAATGTCTACGCTCCATGTTTTTACCAACCTGCACTAACCAGCATAGTGGAGCAACCCCACGACCGACACGTACACACATCACGAGAACAATGTTATTATGTAAACTAATATCATTTACTCATACATAAATAGCTCAGATTCCCAAGGCCCTTTCAGGAGTGTCCTATTTTCGGACGTTTAATTATAAAATGTCCCCCTAAGTTATGTGCACCCACGACAGTTCAGTTCATGATAAAGGTGCAGTGAACAATCTGGTAAACCAGGCGGTTACACAAACATCTGGTTTGTTGAGATTTTTGACTGCACTCTACAAATAAACCAGATCATATTCTTTCGATTTTTAATAGTTGGACAAGAGTCAAACATCTAGACAACAAACACAAGGCCGTTAATTAAAGATGCGACAATTCATCAATTAACATTAAAGCTCAGGACATGTGCATTACACTCCATGTTTAAAACTTGATTTTGTTTGTTGCGGGAGGAGGTTTATCGTTACATCCCTAGCCAACCGATACAAATCTGTCCCCCGCACCTCCGATTAGCACGGTTTGCTACGTACGGTGGGGAAAGAAGTTCAACGTACATAGATATATTTTCCTGCAAGATACCGTCAGGAATACGCGTGCGTGCGTGCGTGCCAGGAATAAGCGCGTACGAAACGAGCTCGCTTTGCACTGTGGTGCACCCATCGAGGGCACGCGTGCGTGCAGAAAGGCACCTGCGAAGTACTTGCGCAGAGTGTACTGAAGACCGAAGACGACCACCTCCCCGAACTTGACCTCGCCGTCCACGGCTCCGTTGAGCTTCCCGCCGCGGCACTCGAAGTAAGAGTAGACGGTGGTCGTGTTGGGAGGGTACTGCTTGTAGTGCGTCACCTGCACACAGGAACGGGAATAATAGTCATGATGGAATGTACAACATTTGTCTAGAAAGAGAGCTTAAATATTTACATTTTTACGAGGATTTCGGTAAAATCTTGACTTAAAGCTTTCGTGCCTGCAGGAATTCATATTCTTTGGGTCTTTCGGTAAAGTTACGTAGAACAAAACAACTAAAACAGCCTGCTTCAGCAGCTTTTCCCCTCCTTTTCTTCTCCTGATCAACGATTGCTTGTGTTGCGATCAAAACATCAGTTTTTTGTTATTTTTTTTGTTCTTCGTGAGACTTTACCGAAAGACAAAGAATAAAGATTTCGGTATTTCAGTTTTTACAAACCCATGTTAAGCAGCAGCCCTTCTTTAAGCATGTAAACGCTGGACCCAGTTTTTACCCTTTTTGGGGTTCATCAGCAGTCCAATAACAATTACCAAAGGTTTACAAGGTGCATTTTTTTCTCTATTCCAGGCCATCAACTTAATATTTTTTCTTTTGAAACTATAAGTTATTTGAGTAATCATAAAAAAATATTTATAACCAGACATCTACATTTTAATGGAGAATCCTCCTGCATTGGGATGTTTTGACAACTGCATTTGAATAATTTTTCTCTCATGACGGAGGAAATCCGAGTACCCAGATATGAGAGCACAGAAATACAGTACAAGTAAACATGTTGCTGTTGAGGCCTCTACTGCCCACAACGAGGCCCCACAACAGAGCGTCACCTGTATAAAAATAGCAGTCATTGTCAAAACGTGCCCATAGGTCGTCATGGTTGAGATGTTTGGAGCCTCAAATTCCTTTTGTAGTTGGAGCCCACAGTGCCCCAGAGGGAAACAATGCATACGAATGAACGACACTGAAAATGCATAGGTCAGCCACCCACTTGCTGTACTGCTCCCTATGGCAATGGCTCATCGAAGCCTTCATCCAGCAGCGAAATTAACCATAGCTGCCGATTATGAAAGATTTAAAATAAAACTTGCACTTAAAAAATATACAGAGAGCGCTGACTTAGTACTTTCTGTACAGTTAAGGAGGAATGGAATGCACCAATACTTCCTCTTTCTGTTACGCAATCTCTAATAAAGTATAAAAAGGCTCTTCTCTTTGAAATACTTTCAAAATGAATAGTTCACGGAGAAGTCAACTTTCGTGAACTCGAGTAATAGATTTCAGGCCGGGCAAATCTAAAATCACTTTCTGTTATCACATCTGAAAATGAAAACAAATAATTAACCATCAATTCGCATTATTCCTGAAGATGAACTTTGCTCGCCAACACACGTTCCATTGGGCCTGTCTGCAATCACAAACAGCCTTGACATTGCAAAAACAAACAAAAGGAGAGTCACTTGGTTTGTGTGGTAAGCTCATTTAGCGGTTCATGGTGCAGCGTTATTTATCATGCGAGTCCAAGCCATTAATAACAAGCAGAGTTTACAGGCCAAGTGTATTCTTCCTGCACAGTATTACGGTAACAAAGGCCTGTGATAAAATAGTAAGCCTGACATACAAAAATCACAATGTTTTCTCACGTTTATGTCCAATGTGTGTGTTGCCTGAATCACCAGGATTGTGTCCATCTCATATCTTGGAAGCTAAGGCGGCTTCAGCCTGGATGTGGGCAGCAGAGGGCAACGGAGCAAACTTTCCATTGCTGAAATGCGCTATCCGCCACCTGTGCTCATCACCCTCACAAGACTGGCCAGTGAAATATGCTCCTGAAAAGTATTTAGGATTCCTGATAATTACAGGCAGTGGCCCCCTGAGATACTTATGAAGGAACCGCCATAAGATGTTATTATTTATAACCATCCAACTTGCAAGCGTTTGTTCGTACTTACGAATCAAAATGTGGCACTATTTTGTTTGGCGGAGCGATCCTCCACGAGATGTAATGGGTCCCAGCATCCTAGAAATGCCCCTTCCAACAACGATGCCAGGATCAGGACTTAAGGTCCGTGAAAATAGACTATTTTTTATTTTCTTGTTACTTTGTTTTATTTACTATACAGTATTTATTGCAGTATTACACGCAAATGTCGTCTCATTTATGAGTTTAAGAATGCGTCCCTTTCTTGTTGAACCGAAACACTTTTTTTATAACACTGACCAAATGTACAATTAAGTTCTGAGATACGAAAAAAATCCACTTACGAACGGGCAAATTACTTGCTAATGTTATACACTATGTAGGCTAATGAAGTGAACAAAACACTGAAGAGGGAAAATAGAGAAAATAGAAATGGGACAGCAGAGGGAAATCCTGAATCTAAACAATTGGAAGGGGTGGGAATTAATTGTGACATGTACACAATTAAAGTACAGTTTTTACAGTTACAGATACCATGAAGACAGATTTTTTTTAAATCATACTTTCCTTCATTGCTGTGGATTTGTTTATTTATTTATAATTCATCAATTTGTAATGCTGAATACGTAATAACCCCCAACATGTTGAAGTTTTAATCTGCCAGTTGAAGTCTCATGGTTTGTTATTTTTTTAAAGTCCAAGTGCCTCGCACCTGTTTGTTGTGAAAGCCACGGGACTGGGTTTGTTTTAAATGAACGCTGCGTTGTTGTGGCATCGCGATTCGCGTACTGCGCAACGAACCGGGCCACCCCAGTTAGATTCCTGGCCACGGCTAACATCAGTCACAAGTGATATCTGAACTGGCCCCGGACTCTCCTTTCCCCAACCCGTACTGACCAGCGTGGTGAAGTATGGTTAAACAGCCCCCAATATCGACTACTATATTTACCCAAGAATGTCAGTGTGTAATGCGTGTGACGTCACTCCACGTCGACCAGCCCCCCTCATTAATAATCATAAACAGGTTACGTTCTCCAAATGGACCTCCCCCCTCATTAATAATCAGGAGCTTGTGACGTCACTCCACATGGGGTAGGGGCACCTCCTCCCCCCTCCTCTGCGTCAACTCACAACCCTCACTACAAAGGGAGACCCCTCACGTCACGTGATCTCCATAACGCTGTTGAGACATCGAAGTAAAAAGGACGTCCTGATGAACAAGGAATTATAACCTTTCAACGAAATGGGTCTTTGTCACCGCGCCCTTACAAATTGCACACGAATGGATGCAATGAATATCACGTCGCGGTCTGATTTTCGCTTGCAAGTTTCAGATTTACTGCCGTACACCCGTCCTTGGACGGGCCAAAGGCTAGTTGTAACGAAACTCGACTAAAAAAACATCGAAAGCTAAAAAAAAAGGATGCGGCACTGCGATTACTTTCTCACCCCACCGCTGGTGAAGTGGCCTCCACTAGAGGGAGCTCTAGAAGGCCCCTCTCGAAGGTATTGGCCGACTCTTTCATACTGTCCAGGCATCTTCGAAGATTTGGATAAACCCACACTTTACCCCACCACATGAAACCTTGCCAAGTGGACTAACCAGGATGTAGTAATTCACTCTTGGGGTGACGGAGGTGGGCTGTTTGAGAGACTTGCACTCTTGATTCAACTGGCGTGTCAGGAGATCAACTCGAACCGCACGCGACTGACTGTGGTGTATCCATTTATACTTTTAAAAATGGACAGAGTTGGAGGGAAGTTTTTTTTCAAATTTTCCCCAACGTTTAAACTGCCGTGCCAGGACATTGAATCGAACAGACAATCTTTGGACTGCAAGTCCAGTGTGCTAAACGTTACCGCACGGAAGCATCACAAATCGATTACCTGGGGCTAAAGTTAGTCTAACTTTAGCTAAAGTTAGTCTAACTTTAGCCCCAGCTATGGCTGGCAGCGAGGATGCTGTATATACGATCTAAATAAGGCAGGAGCTGGCACAGATTAAAGTACCGTAACTGCTGACAGATCATTGTATGACATTGGAAAAGCATTTGATTGGAGCCACGTTTGGCCTTCTGGCAAGGGCTTCAATCCGCTTTGCAGAAATCCACCCCATTCTCAGCAGGACGGCGACGTCACTCTGGGACAGCAGCACCGCATTACAATTAACGGTTTATATATATTATTTTATTTTATTGTTTCCCTTCAACCTGACTTTACCGAAAGAACCAAGAATATGAATCACTGCAGTAACGAAAAGCTTTAAATAAAAAAATTAACGGTTTGCTTACAACTTGAAAAAACACGTGAGAATTTAACTTTTGCATAATGAGGTTTGTGCACAAAAGTCATAGACACCGTAATTAAAACCGATTTTATTTCTCAAGGCTATTTCTACTTTCCTACATTAACATATTTCCAAAATACCACGTCACAACTCTGCACGCCAGGCATTCTCTGACAACAGAAACTCGTTATAGTGTGCTCTCGGCCACTGTCACTTTGTCTGACATTGTTTGTGTGCGTATCTGTGAAAGTTTGTTTGAGCACCAAGCGGCCTGTGGTTGCAGAGAAATTTTTGTACTTGGCAGAGGAAGAAAAAAAATCGCACCTTAGAATTCAGTTTAAAGTTCAGTTACGTAATTGAGTGTTAAGTCTCCCAAAGCTCTGAGCCCATTAAGTTGGCTAGATTTATTTACAATTTTAATTCATCTGTTGGTTTCTCAGAGAGACCCTAGGATACACGTGACTTCACAAAGTATAATACATTCATTCGTTCAAATACAAAACCTGTCATAAGCACCAGGTGTACAGAGTGTCTTGGACAAACAGCCACCGACTCGGAGACACAAAAAAAGACAAATGACTCAAATATACATATACCTACAATACTTTAACCCCACTATACACGACCTGCCAATCGCTTAGCTGTGGTGTAACCATGTACAGTATACTGCACTATACTGCTGGGTCAATAGAGGCGAGGGGGGGGGTAGCTGAAATTCAAACATTTCCTTGTCGAATTTTAGTTTCAGGTTTTACATGGTCGCTTGTAACCTCTGAAAACTTCCCAATAAATACTTTTGTGAGGATCAGGATAAGTGGTGGGTATCTGTGTTAACCTTACACCACAGCTGTATACAAGCGTCTCAAAGAGACGCCCGAAAGGAACACGGAAGT